AGAACTTGGACCAAGTTCTAGCATCGTGGACATTGGGCTTTAGACCTATGCAAATTAAGCATTTCACGTGTCGGCTAACGATGTACAGCTGGAATCATATAAACGGACATGAAATGTTGCGACAGGTGACGGCGGGAGCGGGACAATACCCGTACGGTTACGGACAACAGATGGGCTATTGGTATCCACAGGGCTATCCGCAGATGCAGGGACAATTCTTGCAGCCTGCTCAATATTATAATCAATATTACGGGCAACAGGCTCAATATATGAACAGCATGAGGATGCCCGGGCATGGCGCGGGGGCCTGGCAACCGACGCAAGCCACCGCCGCGCCCCCGACACCGAGCGCGCCCTTGCCGCCGGGCCAGCAGCCCACTATGGTAACATACACCATGCCACATCAGTACCCTACGCAATGAAACTGATCGTTGACCGGCTAATTGTTACGTACGATATAGTTGTCCCGGGGTTATCGCCAGGATCGTTCCGACATATACCTACTTCAACATTTAGACTTGAGTTCTCGGTGCTAGGGGCACGCGGGCTGATCCGTTTCCACAATCGAGATGCGATGTCACTCGAATCGAATCTTTGCAATGGGAAAAAAGACGCGATTGGTATGCCGAGCTCTTTTATTTCTTTCTTTCTGTGTGTTTGTGCGCGCGATCAATTCGTTCAACGGCTGAAGGACGTTTATTGTTTTCTTTTCTTCCGTTTCTGTAACGGATGGGCATAGCGTTACACCAGGACAAATCTCGCGTGGCGACGACGCGGCAGCGCGTCGCTCGGCGCTAAAAAATCCGGTCGGATTTCCGACTCCCGCTTCCGAATATAATGTTGAACCAGGTATATCTCCAAACTTTCTCGCGGTCTTCCCCTCCCCCCACGAAACTCAAAACCGAGCCCCGCACCCGTTGTGCTGCGCAAGTGACGTATGTATGCGGCAATCTTCTTTGCGTTGTTGATACCTTTTTAATATTTTTGCCACTGACATCTCGACTCTCACTCCTCCCTCTACAATCTCGGATTGTCGATGAACAACGCGCGCGACAAATGTTCATTTGAGATATAAATAACGGAGAATAACTGCTAAATATCGGACATAGTTAGTAAGGTAGAAGAGCAATTAGCTAGACACGGCGCCTGTGATGTAGCTAGACTTTTGGACGCGTGTATGCTAAGGTGTGCGGGGCTCCTTAACAAATAAATTCTGCGAGAGTTGAGTAACGAGTTACAACTTTGTCTCGTTGTGTGATATTTATCGTCGGTGGTTAATGTATAAAATTTTGCTATGATTCTCCTCGGAGGAGGAATAACAGAGAAGGGAGAAAGGAAAAGAGAGCGAGCGAGTGTGTCTGCGTGCCTGCCTGTGTAACGTTTGCGTGCGTGCGTGCGTGCGTGCGTGCTTTTTTGCATGGGTGTGTGGGTTTTTTGCTAAAGAGACATCAAGACGACGTGAATCGAGATTCCCTTGTACGAGTGCAAGCTCAACTACATTAATTGCTGCGACGTTGTACATTAAGTGGCGCATCGGCTCGCACTCTCCTCGCGCAACCGTCATGTTTTGTCTGTGTATCGCGAGCATTATGCTCCATCTGCAAATGAATAAAGGTCGCGAAGTGCACGTTGCGCTGACTGGATTTTTTTTCTCTTTTTTTTCTCAGAGAAAATGTTCACCGTGGTTTTGAGAAAGAGAGAAGGAAGAGATCGATCACCGCTAAGAGTTCGTCCGCGACGAGAGCATAGCTGGAGGTCCGAAGAGATATCGGTATTTAACGTACGCCGTCGTGTACGCCGTAACGTCAATGACTCCTCGCCGTTTGTATAGACGACCTAGCTAAATCGAGGAATAATAAATAATGTAACTTAAGTCTTACAATAATAATAACGCGCGCGTACTTCCACCGGGATATTTCTCAGCGAGGGGGACGAGTCATTGATGATCCTGGTCTCGGGACTGAGAGGCGCGTGCGTGAAAATTGAAAGCGTACACACGCATATTTGGTTACTTCGTTACGCGGACGTCGGTAAGCGGTAAAGATCCTGTTCTCCGACGCAGCGTGGAACGATCCGATTGACAATCAATCGTGGGATATAATATTACGTACATTTGCGAATTGTTATTGTCGTAGCCGCGACGCGATAATAAATACGTCACACGATAATAATAGCGTGACACGATTCGATTCCTTCGTGTCTTCCAAGTTAACGTGTAACGGAAGTTCGCGTAGCACAATTAATTAATAATAGTTGCTTTCGTTCTCTTCGGTATCCCCCGCTAATCGCTTAGGGCTCGGGTGATTGGCCCCCTAAGGCTCGCCGATCAGGAGAGATTTGGGCGCGCGACCCGAATCGGGAGTTTCGCCATCAAGATGCCGACCTTAATTGTCCGAGTGTCAATTAGCGAGTACATCTTATGGACGTCGTTGCTCCCTTTTCCAACTTGTCGAGAATCGACGATTGGAATCGGTCTCGGAGTACGAGACTCAAAATGCCCGAGGCATTCTTTGTAGCTCTTGCCGTATAATCTCAAATTCATTGGTTGAATGACGGTATCTCGGTGCCTTAGTACCTGGACACACGAGTCCTAATTAATTACACGGTTGTTTTTCTACGAAACGACTTTCCGTTTTACTAGATTTTCGCGTGATTGCGTCGCATCCGTTGCACTCTGCTGAATGGAGTTCAGAGAGATTCTGATGAAGTACTAAATATCCCCGTTTGAGGAACGATGGCACGCTGTTTCACTTCCTATCGTGGAAGTTCGTAAAAAAAAAAAGAAGAGAGAAGACTCGAAATTGATTATTTCCAATGATGTTTGACACGTGAGAATGCTTGTCACCTCCTCAGTTCACCACCGACGGTAAAATGCCATAAAAGAAATTTCAAAACCAATTTGTATAAAGTCAGTATGTAAACGAGATGCGAGGGAAAATGAGTACAGCCGGGCGTGGTAACGATTCGATTTGGTTGCGAGTAAAACGATAATCGAACCGGAGGCCAATTTAAGGGAAAACGGAGTTGCCTGCGATGTAATCGGAGAAATAGAAAAATCGATGAAGGAGAAAACAAAAAATGTTATATAAAGAGTAATTTAGGTACGGCGGGGTGTCGAACCCTCGAAAATGCTTAGGATAATGTTATAATAAAAACAAATTGTCCTTTTGAATGAAAAAGAAAGGAATAAATATTTAAAATACATAACAACGTGCGTTATTTTGTTACCGTTGGCCTCAACCACCAGTAATTTCCTCCACTTGCGTTAGTCCGTCCGCTTGTCGAGCAAGGTAAGGCTTATTACGTCAATTTCACGATACACAACACGTTTGCACTTGGCGCAAAATAAACGATATCCAGATACATGTAATGCGGTTTTATTTGCAACCAATACACGCTTACAACGACCATCCACAATAACTGGAAAGACATTCTCGAGGAATCACTTGCGAACGTTTCAACGCGACGACTCATGCGAAAAATAACACTCGTATCTTTCTTATTGGCCAAACTTTATGACCCTTTTCTGGTATTCGCATAATCGTACCATCTATTGTTGAAAGAAAAGAGGTTTGGACACAATAAATGACAATTTCCGTTATTTCCTAAGTACGTTCCTAAAAGATGTCTGAAATATCAGAAACGGGGGAGAAAAAGAAATTAAATGAGTCGAGACTTCAGCTCTGCTTGTGAGGGGAAGCGCAAATTTGGAGAAAAATAATTCGTACGCACATTTATTACATGTTTCATTAACGCACTCTCCGACCAACCACACGCTGATGGAACATCGTCGGAATGTTTTACAGTTTTGTACAATTCTGCCGTGCTATTCTTACATTAGGATCTAATCGAGTTACTTCGGTGAACATCTATTAAATATAGATATGTAATAATTATTCTGCCGGACGTTGATTACCACAGTACAAAGATACCTTTTGTCATTCGTGTGTTCGCGAATGTGGACAAATGTCGAAGAGCAGAGATGCGTATGTAGGCAGAAACGGCGAGAGCATTTCACGCCCTGTACTAATTGATGGTGCGGGAAAAGATATGTTGTACTTTAGTACCTGTATTCGGTGACAAGGTTTTCATTTTATACATTCCAATCCTTTTCCTCTTACCCCACACAGAGATACAGCGTTACACAGCACTTTTACAGAATACATTCCTTCGTGTTTTTCTACAAGAGTCATTTCTCTATCTACCTTCGCGAACTTACGAAAGAACTTACGGTAGAATAGTATACGCTACCGAAGAATACTTGATAAAAATTTCACGTGGTAATCTAACGTGTAATTTATAACGTGGATGAAAATACTCTATAATACTGCTGTATGTACACGGGTCACACACCTCTCTCTCTCTCCCTTGGAACAGATTAGTTACAAGTTAATGAAAATCATGAGCTATTTGATCAATTTGACACGGGAAAATACAATATTAATTGATGGGCCGTGTATCTCGAAAGTCACCAGTAAGCCGAAACTACGGCAAAACAATACTTAAAGGGGGAAATTCTCTCGTAAACATGTACAGTTTCTTTTTTTAACTCGCAGCTCATGTGTTTACCGTTAGATTAAATGGTATTGGGTATAATATTTAGCGTCAATATTACACCCGGTTATTATTCTTACTCAATTTTTTTACCGTTATATGTTATAAAAGTAGCAAAATAACTTAATCAAGGCTCAGCGTGTTCCACAATAGAAGGCCAGGGTCTTTGAATAATCCATCGTCATATGCGAAACAATTTGTTGTGCAAAATCATTATGAACTTCAAAACTAGTACAACATAATTCATATTTTGCAATATCATATATAATACAACACACAATGTTACAATCTACGTAGGCAGTGCGCAAAGATTAATATAAAAACTAATATCACAAAGTAATATGGAGATAAAACCTATCGAGTCAGAATCATGTCGACGCCGAAGCTCCGTTCATGTTAACGCGTTAAAAAAAAAGAGAACACAGTAAGAAACAAATCCAACCCTCATCGCGGCATCGTACGCTCCCGTCTAGAAAAATTAACAAAGTCGCAATTTTCCAGATAGACCCAGAATTATGATTCACGAGAACATTTATATATCGCATTCTTGTGCATTTGAATACGCATTAAAGCGACGCGAAAGTATCAAGTTTGTCGTCGTAACATCACAGCTCTTGAATGCTGTTTAGCATCACACGATTTTTATAATTACAAGTGCGAATCTCGAAATGTCAGATTTACGCGTCGCATCGCGTCGCGCGATAAAAGTTACATTTTTTTTACCTCTTACGCTTTATCTATCATGGAATATCTAGTTAACGAACGCATCTCGTATTCTATTCATACGTAGAGAGGTCTGTTACTAAATAACTATCAATTTCACTTGCAAATAACATTTTCTATTCTTCCGCTGTGTCAGAGGAGAATTGTATGCATAAAACTTATTGGAAAATCATTCGCCGTCTAATGAATTGCGTCTGTTACGGTAAATCTGATTCTACAGACCTACTAGGGACGTTACTCTATCGCTATATCACGGATGATCGCTATTGATTCGGAAAGATTAATAAATATGTGTTACATTGTAATTGCAGCGTATTATAATATAGTTCCGTGTTGAATATAGTAATTTGTTTGGTACGTTATACATGCATAATTATTCTACTTTTGAGCATTGGAAGCAATAGATAAATGTCATAAAAATCATATCCGTATATGTTATATGTGTGTATATATATATGCAGATTTCTCTCATTTTTTTATGTATAAGATAACAACGTTTGTCGAGCTTATGCGTAATCCTTACAGATAAGTACTTAGGATTTCAAATAGCACAGATTAGATTCTCAGTTCGTTGTCTTATAGAATTTTGTATTAAAACAGAATCTTACGTTATCCTCCTGTCTCGCACTAGCTCTTTTGTTTTTCTCTTTCCACGTAGTTCCTTGCATCGTAATGGCCGCATATTCCTAACGCATTAGTACATCAATAAATATCAAACGAATCTTCGAAATCGTATCAAACGTAACAAGATTAACATTCGAAACTTCACTTGAAGATTGCACGCCTGTTTCTGCAATTCGTACAAATCGACGCGCGTAAAATAAGGTTTACTATAGATTTACTATTCCCGTTGGATTTCACGCGAGATACTAGTTTGCATATTTGTGTAAGTACATTCTACTATGTCTTCTTATATGTCATTGATAGATCTTTTTTTTTATTATCTGATTGGACGTGCACTGTTTCGTTTGCAAATGCAGTCTTTCTACTGCTGCAATAACGAGTCGGGTCATACGGGTTGTAGTCAACTTGCTCGTGTCCATTTCATAAACAATAATAATTAAAAGTATTTACAGCTTTAAAAAGATGTATCTCCTCTAACTGCAGAAACTATGTGCTTAATCACACACGTATTTAATTTTTTAATGCACATTTTCAAATGTCTAACGCGGCAATATATAATCGACATCCTGATATTAAATGCAAATTCGTAACAAGCAGCACTGTGTCGTAGATTTCAAATGCAAAGGAACTGTAGATCGTAAGGATAATTAATAAATAAATATAAATAAATATAAAGACGCGCTTTTTAAATATCGAACTGGCAACATTAAAGCTATGTAGTGAACTGTTTGCGAATCTCCGATCTCACCGGATGTAACACACGGGGCACATCATATAAAGTCAATGCAAAGCATATTTTTAAGATACATTAAATTATTTGAACCAGAAAGCGCAAGTACCATTTGTCACAAAATATTGCTAAATTACGCTAAGTTTAATGCGATAACGATAAGTGAGTATGTCGACCTTTCATCACCAAGACGAAAATACGTTAGGGATTCGAAGGACAATACCTTCATTAACTTTTCACTGGTCTCTCTCGTAGACATCAATATTGTTCGTACGATAGGATACAAATACAAGAACTGCACTGTTGCGCTGACACTCGGGATTACATGGTTACGATACTTTGGAACGCTTCTCGTCCCGTTTAGTTTGAGGATTCAATTTCATTGAAACGCAATTATTTCTGGAGCCTCTCGCTCGAGCGGCTTGATCCCAAATCAAAGACTCACGTCTCCGTATTCGAAGTTCCATTTCTCATAGGCAGCTAAACTCGCCGGCGAGACGGATCTGCGAATTCTCTTTAGGGAGTCACGGAAATCTTGCATTGTGATATTACGAACGGAATTGAGGTCCAATTCTTTCACCTGATCTGGATTCAGTTCTGAGAATGAGACAATACGTTTTATTATTAGATCACACAGACAAGATGTAACGAGTCTTTTTCACACTTTTAAAGCACAACATAGTTTGGATGGAAACATCATGTTCTTATTAGACTTGACTTTAACTGAATGAATTCAATATTTTAAATAGGTTTGTCATTTTCGTGGTAAATATACACATGTTCATACATTCAAAATAAAGACATTAATAACATAGTAAAGAGCAGGGTTGGGAAAGTTACTTTGTAAAAATATCTAGTTACAGTTTTTTTTTCGCTAAAAATGTAACTAGTTAGTTACAAGTTACCAATTCTGAAAAGTAACGCGTTACAGTTACTCAAGGCCTGATGCGATCTGTGGAGGTTTAAAAAATATATAAAGTAACTATTAAATTAGTTACTAGTTATAAAAAAAATGTAACTGAGTGAAGTTACAGTTACAGACGAAGAAAAAATAACGAAGTTAAGTTAGTTACCAAAAAAAAGTAACTGTAACTTCGTTACAAGTAACGAGTTTTTTCCCAGCCCCGGTAAAGAGCTACAGAATGAGTGGCCAAATGCGTATCTTCACTCATAATATAAGATTAGAGACAAGTACAAGAAATTGTACATTACCTCTGATAGGCCCAAGCGCTGCGTCTTTCGCTAATCCAGTTAAATCGCTTCCCGAATATCCCTCTGTCAAAAGTGCCATCTCGTTCAACTCCTCCGGCGTCAATGGATCATTATGTTTGGCCAAGAGCCTTCGCAGTAGCACAATCCTCGTCTGTACGTCGGGCAACGTGACGTATACGCGTTTCGTGAATCGCCTCAATGCAGCCTCGTCTAATTCCTGCGGTCTGTTTGTGGCAGCCATTACGAGCACCCTTTCTTCTGGGTTGCACGGCAGACCGTCAAACTCGACTAAGAATTCTGTTTTTAGCCTCCTGAAAAATACATTGTTAATCGATACGGCTCGCCCGTCGATATATCGTTCGCGTGCACAAGCGGACAAAGAGAGTACGTAGAGTATACAAAGAGGTATATACCTCGAAGCTTCGTGTTCGTTATCCTTCCGCTCGCTCAACAACGAATCCACCTCGTCAATGAAAATAACAGAGGGCTGAAACTCCCGCGCGATAGCGAACAGAGCCCTCACTAACTTCTCACCCTCTCCGACGTATTTCGATGTGAGGCTAGCGGCGGAGATTGAAAAGAACGTTGCGTTGCACTGAGTCGCAACGGCACGCGCCAGCAGTGTCTTCCCGTTTCCCGGCGGCCCGAACAACAACAATCCTCTCGCGGGTGTTCGCAGACCGGTGAACAGCTCAGGTCGTAGCGACGGTAGGATTACCATCTCCTGCAAAGCCTGCTTCGCGGTCTGAAAGTTGAAGAGTTGAGAGAAGATGTATTGCGAGACGAGGGACGAGGACGATGTTTTTCACATCACAATCGGTAATCGAGCAATAATGGTAGCGACGGAACGACGTACCTCCTGGCCGGCGATGTCCTCCCATTGCACCGGCGCTCCTCCTTCCAGGATCTCGTCGAGGATCACTTGCGCGAGTTTTGGATCCACGCCCTTTAAAATGGGCACCTTTCTGGTTGGGGTGCTTCTGTTGCTGTTCGTGGCAGTCGGTGTTCCTGGACGTCTTATAGGCGAGCCGTTGCCAGGTACAGACAGCTGCCTTTTCACGGAGGGTGGTGTGGAGGACGGTTTGATAGGCATGGTTCTGTGGCAAGGCTGAATAGGCGTCGATCTGCCCATACTTCGTGGTAAGGTCTGGCTCTTGCTCAGGGGTGTTCCTGTCAGTCGCTTGCCAGGAACCGATAGTTTTCTGCCGGATGCTGAAACAACGCCCGTACTTAATAAAACTTGAAAAATGCCAACTTATTAACTTGACGATGTAAATGGCTACGGTTGCCGATTAATTAAAAGAAAATCAAAGTAGACTCCGCGTATCAGTCTAACGGATATAAGAGGGTCTATCGCAAAAAAGATAAAAGTAGGGGAAAAAAATTTACAGCCATACAAATTTTGAACATTTGTATCCTTTAGTGATTTACTGGTAAATAGTAGGAGCGTATTAAAAATGTTAAGGTACCTCGCTAGTAATCAAGTTAAGTTGTTGTAAGCCATTTTTTTATATCGGAATTACGCGATACAGAGATGTGTGTGTGGAGACAAAATACTTCCTACTATTTGTACTCTACTAAAATTGCAATTACATCACGTGTATTGTGTTGCTTCGGTCAAAAGCAGAATGTATCTAATAAATTGCAATGTAAAATTCGATGCGATAAAACATGTTACGTTTACAATATTTATGCGACGGGTGTAATTAAAATCAACAAAGAGGAAACGCACATACGCCTTAATTTCATTTACATCAACGAACAAATTATTAATTGAGAACATTGACTTTTCAAACCTTTATCTCGATTTACAAGATTGGGCGGAGAAGAGAAGAAAAAGATTACCAAATCGCATAAATATTAGATCTATCAAAAAATCACAAAACATTTTTAAATGTGTGGTTGCGACGGTGTGACGTGTATATGTACGTTTATAATATCATACGTCTTATCTGTCTCGATATGTACTTAATAAACAACGTGGCTTTAGATTCTACTTGTAAGGCGCTTTAACGAAATATTCATCGCGCATAGTAAGCGGGATGCGGCAGTTTCTAAAAGTCTACAACACGAAGAAGCAACTACGATAAATGCAAGCCTTACATTGCTCTACCTCTCTCCTCTACGTCACACGATGTGCAAAGGGCTAAGACGGAACAAGTATCTTTCTTCAAATGAAGCTTCAAATGAAGCAACAACTAGGTAGCATTACTGTGTCATTTACTTGCATTCGACTCTCTTTCGCACTTAAGCCCAGAATCTCAGACGGACAATACCTTCAGTAGTATGAGCGAAACAGTTTTTTGGTGAACGTGGCCGTAACTTGGGAATCTGGGTACACATAGTCTGTCCGGCGTTAACTGTCGTGTGTATATTGTTTGTGTTCTTATTGTGATTAATGTTGGATGAAGTTCGAGCGGTTTGAAAAGTGTGCGCGTTGCGGCGAGCCCTCAGATGCTTTCCCGGATGTTCGCCGTCCGTTTTATTTCCAGGTGCGCGATTGTTGATACTATCGTTGATACCCAGCTTTCGCAGCTCACGCACACTCACTACAAAAAGGAAAAGAAAACATTCTCTGCCATGCTGCAGTAAGGCTATAGACAGCTAAAGAGAGAGATCAGGCTACGATCGTTCGTACCGCGATTACCGAGTGACAAAATATACCGAAATACTCGGAACAAAACGCGTATACGATCGTCCGAGTGCTGTGAGATTGGGCTCTCAATCTTATCTCGATGTACATTCGCGCGAACCTCCGCATGTACCCTTCTTCGCTTAAATGCCCCGCAAAGAAATGCAAAATAAAAACTTAACTGTGCTCAAGGTAAACCATCTAGGAAATTTACAAATTACACGCGGGCATGCGTACACATACGCGCACACACACACACACCCACGCTCGCACGCACACGCGTACAACTCGGAAAAGTAAAATAAATTGCACACGATAAATTGCACATGCCATTAGATACACCTTTCTTTCGCTATCACACAGCACAGAAAGATTGCAGAAATGTTACATTGCAAGATTGCAAGATTGCTGCAACGTTTCTGGAGGATTGCAGCAACGTTGAAATGCCCGCCCTCAGAGAGATTGCAGTGCAACATTGCTATAATGTTGCACTGCAATCTCTCCGAGTGCAATATTTTTGGAATAATTTGTTGTTGTTGTACATAAGCAGAGAATTTACTAATTACATATGCATCCGGGCCTTTTTCAATACACAGCAAGCTATTGCGAAGCAACCTAAGGAGATTATGCTCGCGTTCGTTTTCTCGTAACTATAGAGTTTTAGTATAGTTTATGCTCCCAGTGGGAGAAAACGAACGCAGGCTTAGTCGCTTTGCAATAGATGGAGATTGCGAGCAACACCGCACTGATCGAGTACTGAATAATTCGCGCATTATTGGTATCAACGAAAATAACATTATAAAATTCTCGTAATTAGAAAAAAATTTTAAATACAAAATATAGTATTTTTATTATTTTTGAAACATTGCTGCAATATTGCTATCGAAAGTTTGCAATTTTATATCCCTGCAATGTCACTGCAAGATTGCAACGTTTCTGCAATGTAACTGCAACCATCTGTGCTGTATGGGTATCGCCAGAGGTTTACCTGTGGACACCGTTGCCGAAACAAGTAGGTGCATAGATACCGGTCGATATTCGCAAAAAGAAAACAAAGAAGGAACACCGAAAATTGCCTGTACCACAGGTGAGCTTAAAGTAGCGCAAGGAAATGTGTGCGAGACGAGGTGCGACAACGAGATGTACCAACCGAGGAAGTCGAGCCTGTCCTTCGCCATCGACAGGTTCGTGCACATCTTGTCGTGGAGTCTCTGCGCGTGCTCCCATACCTCGCCGTGTCCGCCAGTGCACTCCACAGCTATTCCCTTCTCCAGCTCTCCGATGCCCTTCTTATACAACTCTATCGCCATTTCCTTCTGCCCTGTTGGAACGAAAGCAAGACGACTAATCAGAGGGCACGAAAGCGCGAAAATTCAAACTGTAACTGTACGAAGCAACTTGAATGGAATCAACGCTCGGTAACGAGCGAGACAACGTACCTTCGTTATCCTCGTCGATCTTGAGCGCTTTGCTAATAAACTCAAACGCTCGGCGATGATGATGCTTTTGCTTGGCCAGCAAAGGGTCCCCGGGACCAGGCCCGATGGGACGTCTAGGCACTTGCGACATTGCCTCGCTCTCAATCCGACTGGCGTTGATGAGACGCCCATCCGTCGGCTCCTGCCCTACGACGATCTCCAGCTGGCAGGCCTGCTTGGACGCCTGCCTGCGCTGGATGAGCTGCGACGTGGAGGCGTAGAGGTACTTGAACACGACGAACAGCTGATAGAGGAGCGTGCGCAGCACGTTGAACAGCAGTATCAGTGGGAAGGAGACGATGTAGAGATTGCGCTTGTGCACCGACGGCTGGGTCGCGCCGTCCAGGAAGCGGTGGTGGCTGTGATGGTAGTGGTGATTGTGACGGTGCCCGGCGCAGTGGCTGATGGTCGTCGTCGTCTTGTCGCCGTTCTCGCTCTTGGTCACGCACAGCTTCTTCGGCGACTTGCTGCCGAATTTACGTGTCGGGCGCGCGCCATCGCTGCAAGACATCTCCCAGGGCTGCGAGTCGCTACGTACGTGGAGCTGCTGCGCCGCTCGCGGCCGTCGACAGTGCTGGCGGTGGTGGTGGTGCTCGCGCGCGGCCGCGCCGACATCCCCGACGTGGCGGTCGAGATGCGGGGACGACTGGGACGCCTACATGCTCGTCCCCGTCGCTCGGATGCGACCGCGGCTGCGGCTGGCGCAGGTGGCCGAGGAAGGGGAGAAGACGCCGCGGAGAATCGCGTTGTGGGTCTCGCGGGATACCACCTGGAAGAAGGGACGGCGAGCCGGGAACGGGGGCGAGTCGATCGTGCGCGCCTCCTCCTCCTCCTCGCCTTCCTCTCCCGCGAAGCGACAACCGGCCAAGGGACGCGAGCGTCCGTTCAGCTTGAGCATCGCTTGTTTTGGTCCACCGCCTCGAACGCTCTCCTCGCTGGGCCTCCCGCCGGACCGAGCTCGCGATTCACTTCAGTCTACTGAGTCTACTCCACCGAGAAGTCGAGAACAACCGAGAACGGCGAGAACGATCGGTAGCCCCCTCGGCATCACGTATACCGTAGCGACGCTTGGCGCCGAGTTAGCGAAACCAGTCGATAACTTCCTCGCGCACGGTCGTTAGCGGAGACCCAAACCCACTTTACTTTAGTACATAATCGCAACACATTTATACTCGCTTCTTAATAAATAAGATCAAGAAATAATCACGTCTAGCGTGTAGAAAGTAATATTTCGTGTAATATTTACGTACATGAATGTTACATGTGGAATATAATTAAAAAATACATGTTATAATGACAAATTTTTATGCGAGCAACAATTAAAGTACAATCTTCTTTGAAAGACATAAAAATAATCATTTAATTCGGTTGCACTGTCGATAACAGAAAAAAAACTTTAAACATTATCATTATATCAAGGATGATATGGTAATGATATCCCTGCAAGGGGGAGAAAAATGTACAGGAGTCTTAGACCACTATAAAGCTTACAGCGAATACCTTACGTTTACATTATAAAAGGGATATACATACATATATACACACGACGTAATGACACATTTCACAAGAGTATGCAGTAAAAACGTCCCACACAGCACAGAAAGATTGCAGGAAGATTGCAGCAACGTTGCGCAACATTGCTGCAACGTTGAAATGTCCGCCCTCAGAAAGATTGCAATGCAACATTATAGCAATGTTGCGGTGCAATATTTTTGGAATAATTTGTTGTTGTACACAAGCAGATAATTTACTAATTGCATATACATCCGGGCCTTTTGCATTTCTGCAATCTTCCTGCAATCTTTCTGTGCTGTGTGAGACTGAGTGCAATTATTCTTCTTTCACCGAACAGGTCTAGTTGCTATCGCTCTCCGATAGTTCCGCCCGTTCCTTGACTTTTCGCACCTTGCATCTCACCTTCTTCGTTTTGCTCAGGCCACGTTTTGATTTTCTAAACACCTCTATAGCGTGCAATTTCCTTTCTAACGCGCACGCCTTATCTTTCTCTCGTTGCGGTATGTATTCCCCGATAGATTTCTTTTCAACAACGGCTTCAGCAACTACCTCGGAGATCGTTTTAACAGGCGGTGTACTCTGACGAGTCGACACCTCAAGTTCCTCGGTAACCGAATTCTTCTCTCCGCTCGACTTTTCGGCAGCATTGCTCTTTTTGCTTTTCTTAACTCGAGGTCTGCCGTCCTCGTTGTCGTCCACGTTGCCGTCCGCATTTACGTGGTCGTTGTTTAATCTGCGTAGGGCCTTCTGCACTCTCTTACTCAAGTTCGGTTCGATCGAGCGCGGAGACGCTTTCGCATCGAAGTACATATCCAATAATTTTTGACTCCTCTTCTCTTCCATTCTCCTCAACACCGGTATCATCGTGTCGTCGAATTTGCCCTTTGTCCAGCCGAATTTCTCTCTGGCGTAGTCGCAGAGAAGCACGACGTTCGGCTTACCCCAGGTAAAAGTTTCCCTAGATTCGTCGACCGTGGGAAAGAGATACGCTTGGACGACCGCTTGATTTGGGAAATCTGTGAGATAGTCGGCCACGTTATTCGCAATCACACATTTCACTTACTTTAGCCGTCCTTATCGCCCGTTTCCAGGTGAGACTCACCTCTGTCCAATTTCATGTTTCGCAATTTATTGCGTAAGCCCGTTTTCCCAGGTACGGCAATCATTCCCTTCTTTATCCACGAGGAAAAATTATGTAACCCGTGTAATACGTTATCTCCATCGGCCGGAAACGTGGCTAATATTTCTAGCGCGGTAACTGGCCCGACGCCAGCCACCCCGGTGGTATAATCGCTGCCAACCAAAAGGGCCAATTGTATCAATTGATTGCGGCCGAGTCCTGTGAGATGCAATTGTTTTGTTATTATAAACCCATGCTACTTGATTTTCGTACGACTTTGTTTTACAAAAATAACATATAGTTAATTAACACGTTAACGAATCTACCGATGCTTACGAAAGTGCTGTTGAATATCGCAGGAACGAAATTGCAATACTTTTTTGTTGTGGTTGAAAAAATTCTTGTACACGCACTGGCCTCCAAAAAGCCAGATATCGGAGTCGTCCGTTATCGTGCCGTCGATTAGTTTAATTTGTTCCAAATGCGCGCACTGCGCTTCCGCTTCCATGGGAGCCACTATGTACGGTATGCCGAACAAACGTAGCAGCTCCTGTAAACAAATATAATACATGCAAACAACAATCCAAGGTACAGCGCGCATCGTTTCCTCAATATTTCCAACTGTACCTGCGCATCGATTCTAATTTGCTCGGAGATGTTGGTGGCTTGCCTCTCGAGTTTGCCGATGCCTTTTGCAAGCTCTTCCTGCTCGTCCTCTAGTTGTCCCTGTAATTAGAAAACACTCGTGTCAGATAAATAAGTAAAAGCACAAAACAATTGTCCACTTGCTACTTGCAGAAATGTGCTGAGTTTACCTTCAATTCTTTCAAATCTTCCTTATTAGTGGGTAACACCGCTGGCTTTTCCTGTACATATTCGTCAAGAGGACTTACTTGAGCAGGCACGTCTGTACTATCTCGCTCCATCGATTTATCGGAATTCCGAGTGTCTAATATTTTGTCCTCGTCGTTTGACATATTCTCGCTTGGCTGAAGAGTTTCTGGCAACTCAGTTTTTGCTTCTTCCTCGATCGACTCCTCAAGTATGGTATCCAAGACACCAGCCTTCAAATTATTACCGTTTTGAGAAATCAATTCTGCTTGCTGTTCCCTGTTCACTGTATCGGCAAACCGTGCTTGCTCTGAATTCGTTAGAGCAACTTCCTCTTTATATTCTTTTTCAAATATATCGGCAAACATGTCGTCCTCTGGTTTTTTATCAGACTTGAATGTTATCTCGATATCCTTGTTCTTCGCAATATTCCTTGAAATGTTCATATCGTGTATCGGGACGTCGTGGATCTCGATGAAATCGTCACAATCGGAATCTGACGTGTCCATTTGCGTCACGTCGTTCGACTTCGCGGCAGAGGACTGTTCCTCAAGCGTTATTCCTTTGTCCGGACTCGAGACGTCGGATGTAATAATATTTAAAGCCTCGGCATTGTCTTCTAATGGTTCAACTTCAACAAGATTGTCCGATTCTGGACTGGACGGGATCGATTCAACGGCTACATTCTCTTTAGCCGTACATGTATCTTTTATATTCTGCGATTCCGCGGATTCCAAAGCTTCCTCGCCATTTTCAGGAGGTGTTAACATCGATTTATCATCCTCTGGTTTCGCGTCTTCTGTCAATTCTATACAAATATTTTTCGCGGCCGCTTTCACGCCTACGCTCGCAGTTTTAGGACTTTTATCTTTATTACGTTTGATAAGATTCATGATCTGATTCTGGGACAGGTCGCTGTACTCCAACATGTACGTTAATGCGGGATTCGTCGTGCGCTTCCCTAATAATGCCAATGATTCGTTTATATCATTCTCAGATTCCCAGTCGCTGTCGAACGTGTATTCATTTATATTCTCGACGATAGACAGAGAATCATCATAGATTGGGACATCGGCCTCACTGTCGGAATCGTTCAATTCATACTCGTTAATGTTCTCTGCGATTGACGTGGTGGGTTTACTTGGGCCGGCAACGGGTTCGACTTCTTCATTTGCATCTTGCAACGTAACACTTTTATCCACCTCCGATTCGCTCGCAACAGATCTCGTTGCTAACGCGTTCTTGTCTGCGTGAAACAATATATTAAACAATTCATTATTAGACATATCAGAACAGGCGGGGCGAAATAATTTCAACGTTTCGGCGTTTAGTGCGCGTACCGCTGATATAAATCAATCTGGTTGTATTATCTGCGGCTATTCGAAAAGCCGCGTCTCTGCCCTTTGTATCGATACCCTGCTCAGTCAGTAGTTTCTCCAACTCCTCCAACGTCAATGTCTTTCCGCCCATTTCCTTCTCGGCGGACTCTAAAGACTCTTGCACGTGTCTACGTTTAAGCAAACGTTTCAACTGGAAGCCTGAGAACTCGTGCGACTCCTGCAATCAAACACAATATTTTAAAGAAAAATATATATACACACAACAAAAATGTATCAGAAATTCACCCCAAATCTTCAAACGAATCAATGCGCATAATTGTAGTTGAATACAGCAGGAACCAATGAACAATTTGTCCCAAAAATTGATTCCTGTTACATCCATCCGCCGCTACGCGCAATGTTTCCACCTTACATTCTTATATCATGCTTGGAACGTGCTTAATCAATCGTACACGTTACATATTACTTGGCACATACTTGAGGCATCTCGTGCAAACGGCCCCAGGAATTTTGTTTCCTCGTTTCTTTAAGGTCGGTGAGTATGTCGTAACGAACGTCCGCGGGTAACGCTTTAAATTCGCCGCTGGTTACGTCGACGTTATGTATGTTGCCCATCCATTTAGACTGCTTCCGCGGGCTCAGTTCGGCAACGGTGTCGGAATCGTATTCGTCGTCGTCGACGTAACTCTGGGCGCCGCTGACGTCAGGTATGTCGGGTAGAGCGAACATATCCTCGTCGGGGCGTTTCGTCTGCATATTTATCATTATTTGTATCGCCCCGCCGTTCTGATCCTTGGAATCCTTGTTAAGAGCGGTTTTTACAACGCTGTGCTTTATCAAGTTGTGTATCAAATCTGTCTTCATCTTCTGCGCCTTACTCGTGGCAATAGATTTCTGCTTCCTGCGCGAGGCCTGCGAATACAAAAGAATTGGAGGAGGCTCTTTTCTCACTACCTGGTTCCCACGGTGAGCTAATTAAGTACGAACAATATTATAATCAAGATAGAACAACAGTTTAGCCCGCACGCTAAATGCAAGCTGCACAAGTTTCATGCAATATACATCGCGTCTCCTTTGCGTTAAACGCACTAGTTAAGGATTGTTAGTTACTCGTCGATTCAGGGAAATATAATCTACCGCATATTTACAATCGTATTCTTCTTCAGCATGGGCACACCTCCGTCAAAGACGAAAACGGGCTTGATCCTGTAGTACAGGAGTTTGCAGATCCTAACGAACAATCCGAGTAAATGGGCATTGGGTCTAGGCGCGCCATGACGATCCTGGTATCCTTGCAGCACTTGGTATATCCATATCGATATATCTGTGAAGTACGTATAAAAGTTAATACATTCTAGAACTGTACCTCGGACATTGAGGTCGGCGAGTAGCAGGCAGTTTTATTGTATCCTCCCGTAACTTTCGAGATCCTTTGACCTCGGAATTAAAATAAGGTTTAGAATGTTAGATCCGAGGCTCGATCATCATGAATCTTTTTCTCTAGCGTAAACCAATGAAAAGTGAAAATTCCCATCAACGAATTCAACATGAAAATTTTCACGAGTTCACGCTTGACGAACTTTAAGCTCGGTTTAATTCGTTTTTTGTCTCTTTCTAAAGCAACAGTTGGAAAGAGACGCAAGACGAATTAAAGCAGGTTTCAAGTTAAACGACGTTAGTGAAAAACCGGGCTTGAGTCTCCGAACGGGTCTTGTGAGAGATATCGATACTCGCCGATCGCCAGGACCTTGCCCTCGAGGCTCTCCAAGGGTACCGGCTTCCCGGACGCCTCGAGCAACTTCCACAAGCCGCACACCCCCATTATTCAAGAGACTGGCAGGGAAACAAACGTGTCACTGACAGACACACGACGCTTCCCCGAGCGTCCCGTCATCCTTGAGACTTTACTCCGCCGTGACATCCGACTGCTAACCTAAAAATTGCGCGCCCAAGTCGAATTCGCGCGCATCGCGGGTGCGAGAGTACGGAGGTCCGCGCGTGCACGCGTTCGATATTTTCCCGTAGACCTCGGCCGACCTCGGTGAGGCGAACGCGCGGCACCGAACGGTTGTTCGCGCCCGCAGCGGCTCGCGGTTCGCGGTCAGCTGACGAACGTGACGAAGAGAGCGAACTTCACGTCACACTCACACGCGCTCGGCCGCGCCGGCTGCGCCTGCATACATGCATGCATACCGATCTGCGTGACAAGTCGACTTAAGGATGTGTCGGACCTATCTTTGAAATAGTACAAGTCGCTAAAAACTTGTGAAATTGTTCTTTTAGTCTTCCTAATGTACTGCAGAAAAGTAAAAACGCATCCACTAAACGGTTGCCGAGATACAACTATTTTAATTTACACTGATTTTACACGTACTCTTATGGGATTACCTACATTATTTTTCCGATAAAATTTTTAGTTTGATTTTTAAGAGAATTACTTTTGTAGAGAAGATACTTTTGTAGAGACGATATTTTTGTAGAGAAGATTTTGTAAGGAAGATACTTTTGTTAGAGAAGATACTTTTGTAGAGACGATATTTTTGTAGAGAAGATTTTGTAAGGAAGATACTTTTGTTAGAGAAGATACTTTTGTAGAGACGATATTTTTGTAGAGAAGATTTTGTAAGGTTTTAATTTACACTGATTTTACATGTACTCTTATGGGAAAAGCCGATCTTCACGGATAAAACAGCTAAAAAAAAGTAGTAGAAGAAATAGTAGTGTTTTGAATTTTTTTTATACATCTAGTATACGAATGGATGAAAATATCTACCAAGTTTCAATAGTCTTTACTGCACCGTTTTAAAGAAATAAAATATAATAAGATATAACTTGAGATATTCGCGCTGTCGACACGAATTTTTTAGTTTTGAAAATATTTGACGTTATGAAGAATTAAAATCAGAGTATTTCCACTATCAAAAGTTTAGGCTCATAAGTGAACAAAATCGCAAATAATTCAGGAAAAAACATTGGTAAAGTGAAAAATACCTTCGTAGGAGTACAAATAAGACTCCAACTATCGTTCAAGTTTCTTACTTCTAGATTTACTATGCGTTAAGAGTAGATATTTAAGTATTTCCAATTTCATGCACTTTTGTCTAAGATTGTACGTCCAATACATCCTTAAAGCCCGTATCAGACTACGGATTGAGATTGGTATTAAATTGAAATTTGACCAATCGCACCCTTACGAAAAAGTAACGAAATAATTATTAGAAAATTACTGTATATCAGTAATTGAACTATCAGAAATTACTGATGTACAGTAATTTTCTAATCATTATTTCGGTGCTTTTCCATAAGGGCAGTAAAGTTTACAATCTCAAGTTTAGTAACCTTTACTCTAATTGGTCAAATTTCAATCTATAATCTCAATCTCAATCCGTAGTCTGATACGGGCTTAAGGATGTGCCGGACCTATCTTTAAAATAGTACAAAGTCGCTAAAAACTTGTGAAATTGTTCTTTTAGTCTTCCTAATGTACTGCAGAAAAGTAAAAACGCATCCACTAAACGGTTGCCGAGATATAACTATTTTAATTTACATTGATTTTACACGTGCTCTTATGGAAAGAGCCAATCTTCACGGATAAAACAACTAAAAAAATGTAGAAGAAATAGTACCACCCATGCAACACCGAACCTTTCAGAAACATTTCAGAAACATTCCCAGATAGCACAAAGATGAACAATAAGTTCATAGAGAATTCATTTTAAAGAAAACATACAGAATTAGAAAAATGAATATCTGAAGAATTCTTGAAGAATTAGTCTCAATCAGTTCGTCTTGAAGTGTTCTTCTGAAGTTCATTATAATGAATACTTCGCGATTCAGTACTGTGAATACTTTAAGAATTTATGAGGAATTATTTGTCATGCGCGAGTATCCGCTAACCGCCATCCGGACGTTCTTGTGCAGCGTGTTACCACGTGCAATATTTTGTGTGCGTAACGTTATGTGCAATTAATTTTGCGCAATAGTTCTATTGTGTAAAAGAAAGAATCGAACGACGAGAACTGAAACGGAAGAATCGAACGACGAGAACCGAAACGGAAGAATCATCCGTTTGTCAACGAGCTTCGGTTGAGAGTATCTCACTGTTGAGTGAGAAATTATAATATTGGTGTAATGTTACTGCATATTAGATGTGTACATACATTGGGTAAATATTTTGTAATCCTCTTTGTTCTAACACTATTCCCCTTGAATTCATAAAGTTTACATTTATTGAATTCGAGATGAATACTTTGAGAAGTTGTCAGGAAAACGATTTATGGTGCATGTAACTTCCTCTGTCACTCTTATTGTAGTCTTCTATGAATTCCTAAAGAATTACAATTCAGAAAAAGAAAACTTAAAGAATACTTTGTGAATTCAGTGTGCTATCTGGGTTGTGACATTTTTGCTGCGTGGGAGGGATATTACGGTTAATCTACGTGGACATTAGAATTTTTCTGACCACTTCTGCCAATGTAGATTTAATTTCAGTTCGACTTACCTTTCATCTAACTGTTTAAAGTTCTGCATTGATAGAAACGGACATTAATTTAACGCGTTGCAATTTGTCACCCGAATGTTGGCGACATTGTCAATAATCGACATGTGCTAATTGCGCCTGCAAAGTGGCTTACGCAATCTCCGATTAATTCGTTCGATGCCCGATCGTCCGAAAAATTGTTATTCCGCGCGGATAACTCGAGGCAAAATCGTCGAGCGCACAATTAATCGTAGCTTAATCCGGCGAACGATCGGAAGACGCGGTAATGGCGTGAAAACGCGTTGTTTACGCGCGACGTTGTTGCGCGCGGTGCGCGTTGGAGCGTTTCGGAGCGGCAGCCAGGCCAATTATTTACCCGTCGGTCGCTCGGCATCTCATTTAAGCTCCTCCAGGGGCTCCTGCGATAATAATTGGAATCGCGCAACAATTACAATAGCAGATCGTATCGGGATCACGCTCGCGGTATAATTCCGGGCGTCTTATTCGCGCCTCCGCGCAAAAAAAGAGCGCGCGCGGCGTGGGAATCGGGATTCGGGCCCCGGGTAGAAAAAACTCGGCTCGCGGTCGAGCCGCGGTTCGCACGTATACATACGTACGCGCGGCGCTCGCCTATCGCGAGAAATTTACGCTCGGGCCGGCCCGAAAAGGGAGCCGGCCGAAAAAAAAAGTGTATTGCCGCCCGTTAGAGCGGAGGTCGATCGCGCGCCGAGAGAGCGTGATTTAGCAATTATTTTAACGCCGCTTAACGCACGGTTGTTTTAGCGCGCGGATGAACGCGCTAGCGGACGATTTGTTTGTTAGTCGAAGATTATGTTCGTTTATTATCGCGCATTAATTCCCGCCCGTCCCGCGACCGCTTGTACTTGCGTTTAGCCGCAGAGAAATAGAAACTTTTTGTCCTACGGTGATTTCACGTCCACCTCTCATCCCGCTCCCCTTCGTTTCGCGACTCAGCCGAGCGTCAGATAGTCGGCTCGAGTCAGCGATACCCGACGATACAGATTACATAGATTGCAGAAATGAATCGGTTAGAAAGGGTATACACGCGACTGACAATGACTCGTATTCTCGAAAGTTTTTCGAGTGAAAATACCCTAGTAGCACTACAATGCATTGGCTAAACCCCAGGTAGAAC